CTTCTTATCTTTTTCTTCCCATTTTTTTAATTTTGAAGAATTTGGTATGGGTGGGGGGTGGGGGGTTTTCCCATTGATTCCGCCACTGATCTGGTTAATGAGCTTTCGTAACTTTTAATTACAGTTATAAAATAAAAATTGGTATTTATTTTTTTTTTTTTGGCTTTAATTAATTTTAAAGTCATTGAAGCCACACACAGCACACCTCATCATGTGTAAAGATGATGTCCATCATCAATACCAACTGCGTATTATGCTCTACGACTCACTTCTCTCCAGTAGTTCTCTATTGGTAAAGCTCATACAGTTCAGACGATGACTATCAGATTATTTAATCAAAATTATTTTACCACACAGTAATATAAAATGTTGATTGTGCAGCAATTAATTTGACTATACTACCGCACTTCAAATTGAATAGACCTATTCATAAGTTGAAAAATATGCAACATCACTTTTCCTATATGCGTTTTTTCTCAAATCTACGTAATATAATAAAGTTATGTTGCAGTTTGGTAATCAAAATGTTATGCTGTAGAATTAAATATGTGTATGCAACATCACTTTTCCTTTATGCATTTTTTTTCTCAAATCTACGTAATATAATAACGTTATGTTGCAGTGTGGTAATCAGAATGTTATGTTTTAGAATTAAATATGTGAATGTAATTTAATTCCTTACTAAATAAAGTTGCAAACGTTGCTGCAGCATCATTATGCAAGAATTATTTTCTAACATATAACATTACCACAGCTTTTGCGAATGTTATAATAATGTTTTGTGTTCGTTGAGATCTTTCTGTATCTTTTTTTTATATTAACATTCAACTGCAAAATCAGAGGAAATTGCATGCCTTTGTCATAATTGTTTGTCCCACAGCAATGAACTCGTTTTTTTTAGCATCAAAACGTTCATCACAACAATTTATGGTTAAAGACTCATTATTTTCAGATAGGAAACTTGTCTCAATATGTTAATGGCTTCAGGAAGCTCAGTATTAAGGAGATGGCAGCGTATTTTCCAAACTACAAGTTAGCCTTTATTTGATTTTTCTTTTGGAGTATACAGTAGCTCTAGAAGATACATTATGTTTTTTGCTGTAATTGTATTATATAATTATTAATAATAAACAGTATTAGTGTACTTATAAGTTAAAACTATAAAACAAATATAATTGTGGTCTATATTATCATATTTTTTTTTATCTGAGAGAACATTTTTTTATTTGAACTAAGTTTTGGCTGAGTTACTGTTTATAATTATGTTTATATAGTAACAAATCAAAAGTAAACTATAAAAACTGTAAAAGATCAGTCTCAAACCATTAAAAAATGTTGAAATCAATATTTATTTTTTAAAAATGACTGATCTATATTTTGATGATATGCACAATATGTGGTTCAAAATTGCTTTCATCCAAGACTAACAAATGGGGAGGATGTGCTTCTAACCTATGAACTCTGGGTTGAAAGCTAATAACCAACACATACTCTTCATTAATTTGTGATTTTTATCTCTAATATTCAGTAACGGTTGGTTTGTGACTATGCTACAACTTGAGTGTCACAAATACTTGCCTTGGCTAATGAATAAGTGAGTAGTACTTTAGGATTTTTTTCTTCAGGATTTTCTACAAACTTGAATTTTTCATCATGGTAAAAATTTGCTGCAGTAAATTCTAAGTATCATATAAACACTTTACTTCAATTTTGTTTACCAGCTCAACAACCCAATAAGACTAGTATTTGTTTTTAACGTTCTGGGTAGTGAGTTTCGGCAAATTGCATGAGGTTTATTTTGGTCAAAAATTTGAAAAACACTATTCTAGAATGAACCTTGTTAGTGCATAAAACTAACCATGTAACCAATCAGAACAATTCCAGGATCTGAATATGTGTTAGTCTTCCTCAAACGCATGTGTTATCCTACAAACTCTGCCGTTTTATGGAACATTTGATATCAACAATATCGAAGGGCCAGAGCTTATGGCAAAGGTACATTGTATTCTAAAGCACTCAAAATATAGAATCTATGTTTGATTTCATTAAATGTAGCTACACAGTCCAATAGTAAAGTTAGACTTTTTTTTCGCGAACTTGTTTTTTTAGAGATTGTCAGAGGAGGGTGTGAAAAATTATTAGTTTTGTCAAAAACATCCAGACGGAGGAGAAAATAAGAACAAAATTGTATTGGTGAAAACAAACAATGTAGTAAATGTGATGGTTAAATGCATAAAATTTATATAATTAGAAAGAAATATGCATACCATATTTTCGGACATTTCAAGGTAGCGGCGGGTGTAATAAAAAATAAAGAAAACCTTTTAATTTTTTTTAAATCTTCATTTTTTTTGTTGCAGCAGGTGTGGTAATTGGCTAAAAATAAAAATAAAATGTGTTTTTTTAAAATCATCATTATTATCGCTAAACAAGGTATAAAAATGTCTCGCATAAGTGCTGATATCCAAAATTCCATATGTTGATTTTTTTTTACTAAACTAATTTATTATTTATATATACCATTATCAAAAGAAACATGTTCAGAGAGTACAAATGTTGACAGTCAGTGGAGAGAGTCGATGGACCATAAATTACCCCAAAAACTAAAAAAACCGGGAAAATGTGTTTAATTTTCTTTCTTCAAACAGGTTTCAAGAACATGGTGGCATTTTCATAAATAGACATATAAATTCCCTCTCTGAGGTTAGTTGTAATATATCTACATGTTTTTGTATATCTATTATATTAAAGTAACCTTGGACCTTATAAATAGATCCATGAAGTAACTATACAACTTTAGGCACGTTCAGACGAGTCAGAAGTAAGCTTTGAAGTAGCAGTTAACTTGTCGTAAACCCTGGGTAGTGCCGGGAAGACGCTCTTTTTTTCTATTCAAGCCTAGTCATGTTGGTATTGATAGCAATGCCGTTGGTGGCCGCGGCGGTGGCAGTAGTAGTAGTAGTGTTATTAGTAGTATTTCGTCCACGACCATGATCACTACAACATCAACAACTTGAACAAAAGATTAAAATCATAAATGCAACAGGTAAGAAAATTTAAAGCATACAAAATTGAAAATTGATAAGACTTTAATATAACATTTATTACAATTATTAAAGGAAAATAAAGACAAATTGCAATGAAATCAATTTTATAATGATGTAGGTTAAAATTAACTAATAACAAACGAAAAAAAAAACAAATTTAACATTGTAGATTGCTGGAGAGTATGATGTGGTTGTAAATTGCACTGGACTCGGAGCAAGAGAACTTGGAAATGATCCTTCAGTTTATCCAATTCGAGGCCAAGTGATCCGGGTGAGTGTCATCATCACCATTATAATTATCGTCATCATCGTCATGTGATCACATCGTGATCGCAGTTGGCTTCATTGTTTTCAACATCATCATCTTCGTCATTATCCCCAATACCATCATCATCATCATTACAAAAATTATTATCATCAGCATTACCTCAATCATCATCATAATCATTACCAAAATCATCGTCATAATAATTACCAAAATCATCACAATCATCATCATTTCATTATTAATATTATCACAGTATTCTTATTTACCCTTTGAAAAATATTCAAAATGGTACGCAACATAAAATTTTTAGGAATCATATACAAAGTAATTGAAAGAATAGCTTGATAATTTAATTGAAGAAATGATTACAAGGTTAATATAAGAGTAAAAATGGTTATAAAAAAATTAGTGTACCTGTAGTAAAATGTACAAAAAAAAACCCCTTGTTTTACAAAAAGACCAATAAACATAGTAAATTTAAAAGAGTATCATATAGGTCATCAGCATCAATACCCCATCATCATCATCTTTTGTGTTAATTGTATATTTTGTTTGATATAGGTAAAGGCACCATGGGTGAAGCACTTCATAATTGATATAGATGTTGAGGATATCAGTAAAGATAACTACACTTTATACATCATACCATGGTAAAATTCATTCTTAATTTCCTTTTGTCAAATGCATGAAGGGCGAAGTTTCACACCCTGGTGTAAATCTTTAAATTACTACCTGTGTCTGTACTAACAGTGGCGTATCTAGAAGTCTAGAATTAGGAGGGGCCTGATGGGGGGTAGGCGCGCGAAGGTGAAGTTCTATTGTGGAGAAGCTGCTGCTTTTGTTGCTGCTAATTGTGTTATTGTTACTGCTGCTTTTGTTGCTGGCTACTTTTGTTGTTGCTGCTGCTGCTTTTGTTGTTGTTGCTGCTGATTTTGTTATTGTTGCTGCTGCTTTTGTTGTTGCTGCTGCTGCTTTTGTTATTGTTGCTGCTGCTTTTGTTGTTGTTGCTGCTGCTGCTTTTGTTGTTGTTGCTGCTGTTGTTGTTGTTGCTGCTGCTTTTGTTGTTGCTGTTGTTGTTGTTGCTGCTGCTTTTGTTGTTGCTGCTGCTGCTTTTTTTGTTGCTGCTGCTGCTTTTTTTGTTGTTGGTGCTGCTTTTGTTATTGTAAAATAATTATTTATTTTTATTATTTCTATTACTGTGTTCATAATTTTTTTTTTCTTCTAATTTTTTATTTACTTTAGCGTGGATACAGTGGTTGTTGGGGGAACATTACAAAAAAACAACTGGAATTTAGAGGTAGATGCAGTTAATAGAAAGGACATTTGGACAAACTGTAGTAGGATGTTACCAAGTATTACTGTGGGTATAATAACATTTCAAAATTGAATATATTACATATAAGAAAAATCAGCAATCAGTTTAAATTACATCATATTTTTATTAAATAAATTGCTAATTTTAATATACAGATGGCTGAAGTAGATCATGAATGGGTTGGACTCAGACCAGGTAGGCCCACAGTCCGCTTAGAGCGAGAGACAAAGACGATAGGACACAAAACGATACAGGTATAAGTGAAACAATATGAATAATATTGAATATGATGTTGTTGATCATTATTATTATATATAATAATGATAATTTTAAATATATTGTAATAAATATCATTCAAATTCCTATTCAATTTTGAAGAAATATTTAAGATGTTTAAAAGAAAAATATATTTATATAAGTGTATTAGCAAAAAGACGCCGGAATATTTGATCGGATAACTAAACCATACAATTTTAGTAACAAAACATTGAAAGAAAAAAACAGACTCAAAGCAAAAGAACCACCATCACTATAAAGCCCTTAACATGAGGATCTCTTGGCACATAACCTAGAAGAGCTCTAATGATACTGGTACTTAGGAGAGGTGGATGAGGTACAAAACATACTGTATAGTACAGGCAGCTGTGTTATTACTAGAAGTGGTTGGATACATCAATTTTTTTAAAATTATATTTATAACTTGATAATTTCCAACGAAGCATAAATTTCCACATACGTCTCTTGGCTTTGGTTTTGTCTTTTTAAAATGAAATGTATTATCATTGTCGTCATCAATATTCCGTTTTCTTTCTGTAGAGTATCTCTAACAAAACACTACTCCTCCAAGGTGCCTGATATCATCAATCATCATCATCATCATCATCATAATTTATTGAGCCTCAGCATAATTCATGTATATTGTCTGTATTAAAATATAGAAAACTTTTAAAGAGATGGCCCAATGGCCTCTGTGTTGTTACATCAGGTATAGTCATAGATACTACGTTATTTGAAAGTTCATTAACAAACTGACTTGAATAAACTCGATTTTATGTACGAGACCTACACTAGCTTACAAATTATTCAAGTATTGACGTCTTACGCGTCGGACTGTATCAGATTTCATCTCATACATCACTCAAAAAATGTTTAACAATGTGCTTGTACTTAATATGTCACAAGATTTATTTTGTTTTTTGTGGATAATATAAGTTTTACCAGCAGTTTAAACTGGAAATAATAATAATGCAAGATATTAGATAATTACTTGTAAATTAATAATAATTTGATATAATTTGTAAATGCACTATTTTAGCAATCATACATTTAATCTGTTTACGTCATTTTATTATCAAATTTTATCTCTTGCTCTTGCAAATCATTTGTAGTTAAGTTATATTTTCGCAATTTTTACATTCCACTTTCATTTATAAAGATAACATCGTAATTGTTTTTAACATACAAATTAACCATTGTGTGTAACGTTTTTGTATTTCATTTTTAAGCATATATAATCTTATAATGACATGTACCAAATTTACCCTGAATTTTGAATTTTCCTTTTCACAAGGTTGTGCATAACTACGGTCATGGTGGACGAGGCGTGTCTATGCATTGGGGCTGTGCCAATGATGCTGCAAATCTTGTTAAGGATGCCATCAATGACAACACCAAGAAAAATATATTGAAAAGCAAGATATAAGATGTAAACAAGCGTGTGATATGAATGAATGAATAAATAGATTTATACAATTAATGATCATATACTAATTTGATCAAAGACCAACAGTTTGGGACATGTTATCGTCTAGACGCATGCACAGATGTAAAAGCAAGCAAGCTTGTACAGTACAGTGGAAGGAGCAGAAAAATATTCAGTGTATGTGTAGTATTTTAGTGGAACGTACCACCTCAGTGATTGCGGTTGATAAAGGAGTATGTTCTCTAAATATGACTGAATAAAGTATATTTTATTGAACATATTAATCACTAAAATAAGAACGTAACGTATTTTAGCATGTTCTGTGTCCATAATTGTTACCATATTCTTTATCAATATCTTACCTGCTTTTCTCAATAGTATAAAATCATTGTTGGCAGATAGTTCTCTATTTAAAAGGTAATTTGTCTTTTATTTACAAAGGTCTTCATAAAAATTATAGTTAAAGACGTGGCAGTATTCGATGTTATGCTTTAGAATATTAATCTTCTATTATGACAATACTTGCAGAGACTGATTATATTAACGTTATGAAACGGTACTCGTTGAATCGATCCAGATCCAGCGACGTTCGCACTTCCCTCTAAGATGTTAAAGTGCTTTTAGCATACAAAATAATTATACAGATGTGGTAAATAGCTAGCAGCCTGTTTTTATTTTGGGGTAGGGGAAAGAGGGTTCATTAATTAGAATAATGTCAGGCTAATCTAATATTATGTTTGGCGTTTAAGTCTCTCGAAGATGGGTGGATGACAAAACAGAATACGACTCCCCCACCCACCTACCCCCTCACAAATCATTTACACTTATGTCAGTTATGGAGTGTCCTTTTTCTTTCTGGACCCCTTTCTGCAAATATGTGGACCCGCTCCAGTATTCACATCCTCTCGAAAGGCCGCCAAAGTTGGCCTTTTCGCAAGCATAGTTAATAATAGTGATAATAATAATGATAATAATAATTGGTAAATAAATGGTATATATATAAAATAACTTATAATAATACTACTAATAATAATATTTAAAAATAGTAATAAGGTTTATATAGCGCCATTTAAATTTACAAGTAACACATTTCAATTTTACAATTATTATAATTATTTACAATTCAGAAAAATGTAGATTACAATTAATTATTCAAATCAATAAAAATAAAATAATAAAACATCTTTAATTCAACAGCAAGTTTCCAGAATTGTACTCGGAATTTTCCATCCAAACTCAAAGTCAGACTAAGAGAGAGCTATTAGTAATATTAATAATAAATAATAAATTAATAAATAAATTGAGAATATATACTACAGTAGTATTAGCGGCTAAACCTGAGTAATATTGCAGACATGCAAATACTTACAGTACTATACAGCAAAATTGTCTGAGGCTGATATAATTATATGTATAGAACTAAAAATAATGACAATATTTTGACATATAAATGAATAAAAGATAATGAATTTTTAATAAAACATTCAATTGAACTTGATTCTTTTAGTGTTTTTACTGTCTACCAAGTTATCTTGTTTAATCTTTGCTCTTTCTATCTACTTCCTTATGTTTGTTGTGATCATATTAATGCGATACATACAAACAATTCTATATATAAATATATATATATATATATATATATATATTTATTTATTTATTTATTTATAGAAAGAAAAAAAGAAAGTTAACACACAAAATAGTATAGAAACCACTATACTAGTTCACAGGATAGATTTAGTCCCAGGCGGCTGACAAATTAGGAAGACATGGTTGGAGATTATGATTACCGACTTAACGTTACAGACAAAATGATGCCCACGTCGACTACGATAAATTTGGAAAAGTTGTCTCTCAGGAGATATGAAATTTCAAACTATTGTTATTATGCAGAGATTGATCACAGTTTGTTAATGGGCGATAGGAAATTGTAAGTGCGTTTAATTTATTCTGGTGCACTCAAGGCTGTGTTTTATTACCATTCTTTGTTCTTGCTACACATGTTACAGAAAGCAATAAGCCATTGTGGTAAAATCATCAGCATGATGATCACTCTCTATCTGAAAGAAGACCAGAGAAGCTGTTTTGTTGGAATTAAAAAATTCTCAAGTCGTGCTAATGCTTATCTTGAACTTATTTGAAGTACTAAGGAGATTGTAATCGACTGCCATCAAAAGTGACGATGATCAATATGATACATAGGCCTACTTGGAGAACAATGAGAATGCAATCAACTCGGTAAAAGCAATAACCAATGTTGTTCAGTTTTCAATATGATGGTCTTATTTAAAATAAGACTTGAATGAAATGAATAAAAGGTAATTCTTTCTAATTACTTTGATGGAATATGAAAGTCCTGAGACTTACTTCCAGTGGGTTCTTCTGGTGGGGAATTGGGTAGTACATCGGGAGACAGTCCCTATTTTTTTGCGAAGTGTACTGCGTTCTGTAACGTGCACATGGGCCATTTTGCACATGGGACCGTCTCATCCAAAAGACGGTGCATTTCCTAAACTTGCATTTCAGCCCTCCAACTGAAACAAAAGGAGAGCAGCGATGGGAATTGTACACTTACCTGGAACCGGATATAATATGTGAAACAGGGGTGCGTTGGATTCACATACTAATTGTGTGGTGTGCTGGTGGACATAGCAAACAAAATGACCATGATACTCAAAACATCTCAATATAGGTTAATCTTTATTCAATCAATTATAGCAGCCGTACCAAACAACCAAATTCATACGCGATAAACTCAAGAAAAATCAATCCAAAGACTACTGAACTTTCCGTAGGCCTATTTAAAATTATTAAGCATGCTGAAAATGTATACAGCCATTTTAATTTATAGTTTGGCAATTCACAATCAATATTTTTATTATCAAATAGTTTTACCAATTATTGTGTGTGGCTTATATTAGATTTTAAATCGTAATCATTTTCAAGATATTTTATATTGCGTTGTATAGATTAATATGGATGCGTGCTTAATCTATCTTTTTTATTGTGAAGCTGCATAATAATTATATTGACAATTGCTTTACTGTCGTCTGACCATGGACCTTTATTAGGTCCATGATCTGACCAAAAACAAGCTATCGTTCATACCAAATGCTAGCTAGGCACAGGCACAGGAAATTAACTATGTTGTAAAAGTACGTTGTTTAGCAAATCTTTTTTTTATTAAAGTGAATTTATTAAAATGAATTTTAAATAGGTTGTAATATTTATTGCTATGTCATAAAACAATACAATTCCACAAACAAAATATAACAATTAACATTTACAATATATACAAAAACCTGACAAAAATGACATAGCAGAGTATAGCCCTTTAAGCTGGAATGCTTGTTTCAGAAGTGGTCTTCAACTAAACATCAGCAACATAAAAAAAAAATACAAAGAAAGTACATAAAACATTCAAGTATTAAAAAATATTACTAAATTATAAATATGAGCTCTAGTATGCATATTAACAATATTTATTTTTAGGAATCTCTTATTATTTAATTATATTATTATGTTTAAATTTAGCATCTCTTTTTATTTATTTGAAGGCATCTTCCTATTCATTATTGCAATTGAATGTTACGTTTGTAGGATTACAATGGGATACACTTTTTTTTTTAACCATTCAATTTTTTCCCAGGTTCCGTGTTCTTGTTTTTTCATCGATTTTAAGATCAATGTGTTCGTATTTTGTTGTTCTTTTTTTACACACTTTTCAAACATAGAAAATTGTTGTACAGCAGTATTATTGTACTGTATTATATGTATATTACATAATAGATGTGACTATGTAATAACCTTCTATAATACAGTTATTACTGTACCGTATTATAGAGGGTATTACATAGTCACACCACTGTACATAAGGTGCAGATAAGATTTGTTGGTTTTTCTATTTAAAAAGAAAATAAAAACCTCTTTTTGATGAATTTGAAATTTACCGTCACCCTCAATTTGGTTGTTTTTTTGTTTTGTTTTGTTTTTTTTGTTTTTTTTTTTGTTCTTAATTTTAAGCAATTTTAGCATCAGTGTTCTTATAAAACGTGTTTATATATTTAAAAAAAAGTTTATGTTTCTTTGTAACCTATTTTGGGCTATTCCTTGCTTCAGATTTTCAAATGTATTTTGTATTTACTTTGTATTTTATTTATAAATATTAAAATATATTTAAATCAAGTTGTAAAATAAAACATCGTTGAGTTTAATTAAATTACTTGCTTATTATGTAAATTCATTTAATCTATGGTATTTGCAAAGTCACATTGATCATTTAAATGCACTACCACAGTGGTAATTAGCTCTAGGTTTCGGGGCTGGAAAAATGAATTCAATCTCATAAGAATGAATGATATTTAAAAAAAAAAGAATCTAACGGATGCATTTCTTCTGGTGGGAATAGAAATGTTCTATGAATTGAGCGCGGCGGATAGATTCATATGAGGCCTTACATTTTATAACCTTGATGCCGTTTAATACCTGATTGCCTCTGCTGTCGTAAATTTAAATGTAATCAATAATTCGTCATAGGAGATTTTGATTGGCTCAAATGTTCAGAAAGAGTTGTATTTAGCCAATTCGAATTGACTGAAATTAAACACACGGCAGTGCATGAAACACACATCATAACGAGTATGCAACAAATTGTAGACTATAAAACGGAACGCACTTTTTTTTAATCAACCAAATATTAATTTGTGCGGTCCACCTTTCTGATTCTATCAAGAGGTTTACAACACTAATACTTGCAGATAATGTATTGGCTTTTGATTTTCATAAAGGTGAGTTGACAAAATGAATAGCTCTCTGCAGGACCATTTTGAATTTTACGTTTTTTCTTTTTTTCTGTACCACTTAAAAATAAACCTAATAGGCCTACTACTGACTTGACGGTTAGCTTTTGAAGAACTAATTTAAAAGGCCTAAAATTTACGGCACTATTTTCATTTTCAATATAATAAATTTAACTTTTTATTATAAATAAGTTCGCAATCTCTGCTGTGGATAGGCTTATCACAGAGCTTAGCACTCAGTAGCTAAAATCCCCACATAGAAATTGTGCGGGAAATTTTGACAGGGGACGGGCCAGGGACTTTGACCAATTTCACTCTTGTTATAATACCTGTAATAAGAATGAGAAAATTTACCTGACCGTTTTTGAGAGGGGGAAAACGTTGAATTTTGAAGAACTTAAAAGTTATTAAAAGACACCTCAGAAGTCAGGAAAGCTCATTTTCCGCCATCTAGGAATAAACATTTTTCCGGGTGAGGACCCCGGATCCCCCTTCTATTTTGGGGATTCGGAAACATTGTGACCCCCCCCCCACCCTAAATTTGAACCCAGATCCGCCTCTCGGCCCGGATTCAAATCTTTCCGATGTTTTTGATAAGCTTGCACCACTATGCAACAGAACGATTACCATTAGACCCTTAGTTCCTTGGTTCAATAATGAAATAAAAGTTGCTAAATCTGACAAGCGACAAGCTGAACGATTGTGTATCAGAAATTATTGATCAAAATTTTGGTGACCAAAGGAAATTGATTGCTTCAGTTTATTTTCTGACGAGAAAATGCTTAAACTCATCAAACAAAGTGAAAATAAGTCGTGTTCTAGTGACCCTTCACCCACTTCTATGATCGTTGAAAATGTTAACGTTCTATTGCGCATCGTAAATACTATATTGGAATCCGGCGTATTTCCAGAAAGCTTAAAAAGTAGTGTTGTCAAATCACTTCTTTAAAAAGCCAAACTTGGATACTGATGAACTTTGCAATTACTGTCCTGTCAGCAACTTACCTTACTTTTCTAAACTAATTGAAAGAGCGATTTTTACCCAACTTGACAACTACTTGTGTGAGAATGACTTATATCCGGTTTTTGCAATCGGTATATAGGAAGAACAGAAGTACAGAAACTGCATTAATTAAAGTGTCAAATGATATCTTGAATGAGATGAATTCACAGCGGGTTGTTATTCTCTTACTCCTTGATGTCAGTGCCGCATTTCACACTGTGGATAATTCTCGATTATTACATCACAACGGTTGAAAGGAAAATTTTGAATTACTTGATCTGCACTGCGTCTTTTAGGTATATTTTTGACAAATCGTACTCAGTTTAAGCTGATGTGCGAAGTCCCGCAAGGTTCTTGCTTGGGATCGCTGCTCTTCACCTTGTATATTTCAACCCTTTTTGATACAATTAAAGCACATCTACCTGGTGTTCACTGTTATGCGGATGATACCCAGGTTTATGTGTCTTTCAATCCAGATTCGTTAGACTGTAAAATATATTCAATTTCTACTATTAATAACTGTATACTAGATATTCGGAAATTGATGTGCAAAAATAAATTCGGGCTAACATCATCCCAGTTGTCTTCGAATATTGCTTGCCAGTAAAGAATCGTATTACGTTTAAATTAATCATTTTAACTTGGAAGTGCTTACACAACACTGGATCATCGTATCTTGCTGATCTCTTACATGTTAAATTATCTCGATTTACAGTTTAAGGTTCTGTGTAACGGTATTACATTCAGGCCCGTATTTAGGAATTTCAATGGGGGGAGGGGTTCGGCTTGGGACTATGCGGAACTCCTTATCAAAGCCCACATACTTCTTCTTCTCTCCCCTAAATGGGGACTTTATTCAGTGTGATAGGCCT